AGCTCAAGAACTGATCCAAATGTTCCCTAATCTTCTGCATCATAAACGCGAGCCTCTGTTCCTCTAATTTGTTGAGAAAATACAACAATTTGTCTGAATTTCCTCTCATGAAGGACTCGATGTCGTGAATATCATCGCTCAGGCGGTGGTCAGTAATGCGATTCTGCGGGAAGTTATATGTCCTGATCTTATCGCTTCGCGCGGCGATCCCTATCTGCGCCCTCTTTGTGGTCACGTCTGCGGAGCGCTTCTTCTCGTACGCCATTTGATTGATAATCGCTTTGAGTTTCGTTAAGGCGATGGCTTTGTTCTGGAGCTGACTTCGGGTCTCCTGACACTCAGTGGTCACTCCCGTCGGCGAGTGTTTCACGCGAACGCACGTAAGCGTACGGTTCACGTGTTGTCCGCCCGCGCCCTGCGATGTGGTCATCGTAAACACCAGATCCTTGTCTTTAATGTCAATCACGTCGTGCCGGACGGGTATAACGGCCACCGTTGCGGTCGATGTGTGCACTCTATGCCGGTCTGTCTTCGGGAACTAATACCACGATTCAAACAACAAACACAATTCAAAAATACTAACGTTAATAACAATAACAGAGCAAAGGGTAGAGTAAGTGGTCTCTCACCCGTTGGACCCGATGAACGCCCGCCTCGTGTCTCAACAGTCGATAGCAATCGGTTCCCGATATAATGAGCGACGAGTGTCGAGAACCGCCGGCAACGGTATCGCAATCGTTGTCCGCAACCGAATAGTTCCAGTTCTTGTGCGCACAGAGACTGACGTAAACGTCAAACAACTCTTTGGTGAAGAGCATCGCCTCCTGACCGCCGACACCGCAGTTCACATCCAGACAACACTCGCCGATCAGGTGATCGTCGGCGACGGCCATCGCGTCGCCGATAATACTGTCCACACATTGCGTCAAACGGTCCGTCAGTTCCGTGCGTTCGGTGGCCACCAATTGGCGGATCTCCTGGTCTTCGGCGGCCGAGCCGTCGATGGTCTTCAGTTCATTCAACTCGTGTTCAATCGTCTCAAAAGACTTCATCAAATGCGGTGACCCTTTCAGACCGTTTTCGGCCATAAATTGTCTCAATTTATACGAATTGATATCACACTTGTGTCTGACTTGTGTCCACACGTGGCCAGCGATGGCCCGTTTGGCCACAATTCGCGCGCATTTCGTCCAAAACATAGTCTTTGCGGACAAAACATAAACACAAAACACATGTTCAGTCAATACACACATAAATAACGTGCAAATCATAACACATTTAAACGTAAAGTTTATTTGTTGTAAATTATTAACAAAATTATCATTTAATTAACAAAAAGTGTAACAAAAAACAGTAAATCAGACAACAATTAAATCATTTCCTTTCGTGGATCCGTTTGATATGGCGCTGAAGATTAGAGGTGCGGTTGAACCGAAGCGTACATCCGGGCCAATGGCACGCGTGGGGCCGGGCGTTGGTGTGAACGTTCATGTGGTCGGCCAAAGAGTACGAGAAGCGGAACCGACTGTCACAGTGCGGCCACTCGCAGGCGTACGGCCGGTCAGCCGTGTGTAGGGACCGGTGTCGGCGCACATTGTATTTGGTGCCCCTATAGTCACAACCGGGCCATTCGCACGGTATCACCGGTTCGGCACCAGTGGCCGAGTGTTGGGCGCGTCGATGCTTTTGCAGAGCCCACGCGGAGCTGAACACTTCGGTACAGCCGTCCCGATCGCACCGTTTCGGACAGTGAATCAGCTTATGGTCGTTAAGACCGTCGCTCGATTTGAACACACGGTCGCAGCCCACGTGATCGCACGCAAAGACACGGCCCGAGTGGCGGGCCATCAGATGGAGACCCAGTTTTGTGCGGACGGCAAAAGTGAGGCCGCATTCCGCGTGCGGACAGATGTAGGTCTGAGTGTTGGCGTCGAAGTACTGTTGGTTTGAATGCCACCGCATTTTGGGGCTCTCGTGGCGACACTTCTTATGGCTGCGAAGTCCGGACGAGTCCCGAAAGGCCCGATCGCAGCCCTCGTACTCGCATTTGTATGTCTTTCCGCGCACGTGATTCCTGACGTGCCATTTGAGCCGCAATGGAGTCGTCAATATCTTAGCGCAACCCTCGACGGGACACGAATGGCGGCCAATCCTCTCGACCGGCAAATCGCTGCCCGAGTCGTCACTACTTAGACACTCCTTCGTGCGCTTCCTCTGCGCTATTCTTCGTCTCTTCGGCCCGTTTTTCTGGTCATTATTATTGTTGACATTTTTCTCGGCCGACCAATCGCTGTCTTTATTTACGTCATCATCGATTGGATCCGCTTCTGATGAACTACTTCTCGGAGTTGTCGACCACTTTGTCCGCCGCTTTGGACGCTTGCCGTCAGTCGTGGTGTGACTCGCGATGTCTGCTGTTTGGGACACTTTGTTATCACTTCTTAAGACAACGAGTGCTTTGAATGATTGGCTGCCATTAGTTGTATTCCTCTTAAAGACAACCACTTCTTTCATGTGAGATGCGTTTGCCGTCTCTTGTATTGTCGACAACTCACTCATGAGTGCATTCATTGTTTGTATGTCTTCTTCGGTGATAATGTCTTTGCATTTGTCGTAAATTTTAATGAAATGTGTTTTCCATTCATTCAAAAGAGTGAGACATTTGTTGGCAAACAATAACTCATTTAAAAGTCTATTGTTTTCATGCCTTAAATCATCGAAAATATCATTAATAGTAATCATAACTGAATTTAAAGCCATTATTAATACCAATCAATTGATTACACTTTCAATACTAACTCTCAATCAAAAC